TAAGTCCATAAGTACATAAGACCTGGATAGCGTTCCACTAAGGACTTTGTGACATGCAAGAAGTTTTGCTCTGCAGCAAGATGCAACAGGGTAGGACGAGTTGGGTCATCTTTTGAAGGAACACGGAAATATTTGAAGTCTTCTTTGGCATCCCTCTCAAGTATTATTTCTGTTAGTCGACTAATCTACATGCAGATAGCAGTTCAATTAATTAGTCTGGAATTTACTAAATTTAATACATCTATTTACATCAAAAATGGGCCACAAGTTCACATTTATGTTAATTTAGATGGCTCATTTTGTCAATCTGTACTCAGTCTGGCACTTACTGAAGTTGGTTCTGATCAGTTTCTTGTAGTGTGAAATCACTAGGAATATTGCAGCCTCAATCACTCCCTTCCTCCTTCCTCTCGATGACATGAAGGCTGCACTAACGAAAATATGTTGGTATCTTTTGACAGAGAAGTAATTCCATGGCATTACCCCAGCTATGACTTGAAGTCAACGTAAAATAAAAACTGCGGACTGCAGACTGTAGACTAGGGGTAAAATGCAGAGTGAGGGTGAAATGCAAACTGCAGACTGTCACAAGGGTTGGAAAAAAAATCATTCTATACACATTTTCCCCTCCCCACCCCTGTGCAGTGTTCACAAAACACTTTCACATTTTCCAACATTGAAAGGGGGAATTGGGGTGCTGACACTTATTCTGTAGGTACAATGGTTATGCCATTTCATGTTTTTGGCATGTTGCAACATAATTTGTCAATGACTGTAGCAGTAAAACTGCAGACTTTGTAACTGAGAATGTTACCATTTCCATCATTTAGAGCTAACCGTAAACAAGTTAACAGGGGTGATATTCAGGCTAACTGGAGTGCAAACTTTCACTACGACAGCCTGAATAACCCTACATGTATTTAAGGATAGCACTCTAAACGTGTAAAATCAAAAATAACACAATATATACTTAAAGAGTCTGTATTCTGCAGTCTGCATTTTATCCCTAGT